TCTGAAATATTAATATTAATTACATTCAACATAACAAATTTCTTGCTTCGAAAAACTCAGGAAAATTTTTAAAAAATGAACTATTTAATGAATTATTTAATGTAACTATAAACATTTCAATACTGCTTAATTCCAAAATACCCAATATTTTTAATAATAGTTACTTGCATAAAGAAATTCTAAATAGTTGGTATTAAATTCATAAGATTATTAAAAGTTCATTATTATAAACTTACCATTTTTCCTAGCTAGATATAGTTAGTTACCTGTATATTCTAACTTTAGATAAAATTACTTATTCTCTTAGTTTTACTGTAAACATAGTAATTTTTTTTAAATATTTAAATACGATTCTAATACCAGTGTCCCTCAAGTAACGATAGTATTTATACATACTATTTAATTATATTATTTCTATTAATTTCCTACTTTTTCCTAAGTTCTACTATTCAGCCAACTCCATGCTTTGAAATTTAATTCAGTTCAGAACATTGCAATAACTTGTCTATTGTACTCAGATATAGCGCGGGCTACGCATTTTTGAATGCCATTTTTAGGTAACTTGTAATGGATTTCAATATTCAGTTCATTATTTTCAATAGGATTTTCCTCAGTATTATTAACAGAAAGGGGGGGGGGAGGCTGGATGGCCAAAAAGCATGTTAAACCCCACTTTTATATAAATTATTTTTTATGTATAAGAGCTGTCCTAAGTTAGCAATTTTTATATTTCTGCAACAACTTTTTTTAAAAAAAATGTAGATATGGGTATTTTTTGTTGCTTTTAGATTTGTTTATTACATTTTAAGAAAAATATGCTAAAATTAATCAGAGAAAAAGAAATTATTGTTACTAAAATGGGAAAAAAGGGGTAAAAATTGACAAAAAATAACATAAACGCGGTCCCATTCTGTACCAAAAGTTTGTGAACAATTTTTCAATTTTGATGTGTTCCTATGTTATTTGTTTTTAAAATGATCTTCTTCAGGATAAGAAATATTTTAATTTTTACAACTAGAGAACTTATCTTAGTTATTATATGAAATTGCTTAAAAAACAGAGATTATATTAACATAAGGGACTATAAATTTTGTAATAAAACAGTGTTTGATAAAAAGTTAAAAAACTTCTACTGTTATACAGAACATACACAAAAAATTTCAAGTAAATATTTTCAAAACTTTTTTAGCAATCGCGAGCCTCGTTTGAGTATTTAAAAAAAACTCATTTCGAGTAAAACACGTTTTAAAGTATGAAATCTTGCTTAAAGTAATGGCATCTGCGTTTACTAAAACACTTGTAGTTTTTGTTCTAATGAACGGAAAGTAATAATTTTGGTATTTTTATAAAGCTAATAAAATGATCTATAAAATGAAATAATAAAAAATGTCAATTGTTGTCAAGTTTCACACGTTTAGGGTAGTCAGATACCTTAACAGCTCATTATTTTAAGTAAATAATGCATTTCCTTTTAGAGTCACGTTGTATGAAAAATACAAGGACAAATGTTAAAAAAAACCCCGATGAAATATATTACTAGAAAACCGATTATTTGGAAATGTAATGTTATATTGCATCTAGAACAAACCTTGAAAAAAACATATATTTCTGGTTATAGCAAATGTATTTTATTGCATATAACTTTTTTTATACAACTATTACTTTAGAAACTACGTTTTATTCTTAACATTAAAGAAATATGAAAAATTGAAAAGATATTGCATTTCTGATGATCTCACATTATTAAAACGTGTAAATAATACAGCTCTCGTTTATTTTAATAGAAATATTACTGGACAATCCAGATGTCTTAAACATTCAGGAAAATAAAAAAAATTATTATTATATTAGTGAAATAAACCTAAAAACTAAAATACAGATATATCTTTAAAACGTTATTTTTGTTCATTATTTTATTCTCCATCATTTATTATTTTTAATGAGTTTAATATAAATAATTCCTTTAAAATACGATATTTATAACTGTATTTTTAATTTGAAAATTTTAAATAATTATTTGCAATAGTTTTTAAATGGTCACTATCACTTTAAGTGGAACCAAACTAAGAATAAAAGTTTAGAACAGCTTGCCAGAGCCTATTGTCTTTTCAAATGACCTTTGGCAAGAAAATGCACTAGCGTCCCTCCTCTTTTTTAATCTTGCTCTTCAAAAATTTTAAAAGACTCTAACATTAATACTACATGAACTATTTTTAATAAATCAGTACAGATATTTGTTTTGGCCGACAACATTGTCATAGTCACTTGATCACTTGACACTTAACTTAAACAGGCCTTCCTTTATTTGGAAGTGGAAGCAAATAAAATGTCTTGCCATATAAACCAGAAAGTAACCAAATTCATGCCAAGTACCGGTTTTAATGTACCTTATTTTTTAATAGGAGAATACAGATTTGAGTTGTCAGTGATTTCATATATTTAGGCACTGAACTGATGACAATGACATAACACCAGAGGTTCACAATAAAGTCACTGCTGGCAGCAGATGTTTTTATGTACTTAAAAGATATTTAAAATATAATTTCATCAGCACAAAAACAAAACTATTCATTTGCAAATAATTGGTAAAGCTGTTTTTCCCATAAGATGCAGAAACGTGGGCAATGACCGGGAGAGTCAAGGAGACTCTTGCTATTCTGTAATCGAAAGGAACGTCCTTAGGAGTAATTTTCAAGTTTTAGAATAGTATAATATTTGAAGTAAAAGAACCCATTTAGAAATTTATAAAATTTTTAAACTCTTTGCAATATAAAGATTAAAATGTGTAGGACTCATGAAAAGATTGAATGACAATGAAGTCACGAAAAAGATTTTTATGGCCAGACCATATGATATTCTAAAAAGAGGAAGACCAAGACTCAGGGCCATCGATTACCTAGAAAAAGATCTGAAAACTATTAATGCCAGAAACTGGAAAAGTCAGATCAAGAACTGGACAGCCTGGAATGGAATTCTCAGGAAGGCTGGAAAGAAGGAAATGTTTCAACAACCAAACTATCTTTAAAAGTATACCAATCGGACCCAAGCATTAACATTTTAGGCAGATTTATATTTACCAAGTATACTCCAGTGGATTCCTGCTCCCGTAGGCATTAGGGGTAATGAATGCGTGGACGTCCTTGCAAAGGAGGCTTAGGAATTGGATCAGCTTTCCGCTGTAACCTCGGAGGATGCAAACACGGTCTCCAAGCCCAAAATTTCTAACAAGCGCTTCATAAAATCAACTATCCCAGAGCTCAATTGCCCTAGAAATTTGTAGTCTACTGTAGCAAAGGTCATTTTAAAGGTAGCAAGTACCTACCTTAGCAAGGTACGAAAATATATCCCCAGTTAATTTCCGATCTTTCCCCATTTGCAGAAATTGTCCGCAAATTCAATTAACACCTTGCCATATTTTTGACTGCAAGGCCATTCTTGCATATATTTTTAAACTTGATGCATCACTACAGAACATTCTTTACAGTCCTCAAGCTCCCAACCTGGCCTCGCTGGTTATTAGGGTTTTTGGACCAATATAGAAATGCACTAAATCAATAGGCAAGCCAAGAAGAAGATCTTTAAAAGTATAAATCAATTCAGATTTGGTTAGTTTTTCTTTCAAAGGGGGTAAAACTTTTTTAAAGAAAAAAATGTTTAAAAAGTACTTAAGCATTTAAATTGCAATTGTTTCTTCTTTTAAAGGGAATTACTTAATACCTAGGGAAAATCTTCCAGACTTGCTAATTGCAAGAAATTAATTCATTTTGGAATACTTCTTTTTCATCACAAAAGAAGAAACGTACAGTAAATCTTAATTGTCTGGTTTTCTGTTTTAATGACATAAGTTATGCAGGAGCTAGGATAACGAGTCATTATTTTAGAAAACTCTGCAGGGAATCATTAGCAAGAACTAATTATAATGTAATGTCTTTTATTTTAGTGTTTGCTTTGTGAAATGTTCCTGTTTAAGTCATTTTAAAAGTGTATTAGGATTATGGCGTATTTTATTACAGGTAGACATTTCTGGAATTCAGAAATAAATTATTAATTAGAAAATAAGTTTCTTCATACTAAAATATAAAAGAAAGTCTATGTTAGTATAAATGTGGAACACATATATTTATTTAAATGGTTATCTTGACCAAGTATTGTTTTTTAAAAAATATTTTCTGTGTGTCTTTAATTTTTTAAATTAAAAGTATTTAAATCAGAAATTTTATTTAAAATTTTCATCGATATAATGTGTATAAGAAATGCTTCTATTAAACAGGGTGTCTACAAACTAGTTGGGTAAATAAATGATTTATTGCATGTAATTTACATGAAAAAACTTAAAGTAAATATTGCTGTAAGATAGAGATACAGTGCACACACAAGTTTACCATGACCACAAATGTTCGATGTGGCTTTCTTTAGTTACTCTTCAGAACTCTTTAGTCCCTTGGGTAAATCAGCTCTTGTCACAGATTTGTCAGCATGTTTCCGCCAATCAAATTAATTGTAACGTAGATTCTTGATTTTAATTCAGGAATGGATGTAGGAAAGGACGGAGTGTACTTTTGATCCTGTAGAAAAGGCCCCATACACTGAAAACCAGTGGTGATCGTGATGATCCCTAAATAACACCTCCACGATCAATTCAAATTGGTACCTCAACATTGATGTAAGATGTAACGTCGTTGTGTTAGTGACAAGGCGAGCCATCCTGTTGAAAAATGTCAACTTCTAGTATTTTTCCTTTGGTAGTTGGCATAAGAAAAATCTCTAGCATTTCCAGGTAAATAATCCCTGTAACAGTCATTTCAGCAAGGAAAAATAGGACGAGAACATTCGAAGAACTCACAGCACTATACACGTTTACCTTGGGATTATCCCTTTCATGTTTTAGGAAAGCCTGAGAATTTTCCAACCTCCAAGTTTTTACATTACGACACTTAACGCTCTCTATAAATAAATTTAGGATATATTCCTAATAGTCTTACTTTAAACGAGTTAGTGTGACAGCGGTAGCCTAGTTGTCTAGGTAACGGACTCGTGGTCCGCGTGTCATGAGTTCGAGCCTAGTCCGCTGAAGACCCACCGTGTAGGGGAGAGATGCACGCTAAATCTGCTTAGAGGTCAAACGTTCTCCTGTTGGTGTGGTAGTTAGGAGAGGGGTGTGCCAGCTCAGGTATCGTCCTTGTCATTTGACCAAGGTTCAAAATTGTGAGGTCCGTTGCCAAAAGCTCTCGAGTAGCTGAACAGTGCATTGTTAATATTCACTCTCTAAAGCGGGTTAATTTGGTTTAGTAATCGAAAGTTCTTAGCTTAAGAGATTGCCCAACTAGTTTGTAGACGCCATGCATTTAATTGCTTATGAGGAAAAAAGATGTACCGAATTTGAAGAAATGTGTGTATTATTAAAATCAGTCTGGTCTTATGATTTTCGAATTTATGTTTTATTACGTCAATGTATTGTTATGTTTTATTAGTTAACTGTTCTCTTTACAACGATAACTTGTTTTATAAGGTATTTAAACTCTTGCTGTAACAAAGTGTTCATGAAGGAATCTTAAAATGATAAAAAAAAACTGTAAACCAAGATTTTTAGATTTAAAAAAAAACATGTGATTAGAATAATATTTACTCCATTTAATATATATTTAACTAAGAAATTTATCATTGTTCTTAAAATAAATTTAATAAAAGACAAAAATATAATTATATTAAGCCAGTATTTAAAATTTTTTAGGTGTATTTAAAAAATAAACAGAGACGGGATTAAATAAAAATAAACGGGATTCCTCTCTTTGCGTAAAAATGTTAACAATAAATAAACAATTCTTTTATTTTTTTTCAAGCTCAGTTTTTTTATCTTTTTAAATAAATAAACTGAATTATTACAAACGATACATTTTTGTTGCTCTTTCATTTATTTCAAAGAAAATTCAATGTTAAAGGAGAATAAATAAAAATATTAGTGATATTGCTAATATAATTATATTGTATTGTTAAACTGTAACGGATACGATATTTATGTTTCTAGGACTATTTCATTACTTTATCAAAATAAATAAATAAATAATAACCATAAAAAAATAAGAGAAGAAACTATCGTATAATAATTTAAAAAAAGGGTAATTTTTTGCAGGAAATATTTTAATTCCTCCCTAATAAAGGTAATCCTTCCTAAGTCAACCAAACGTAAGAGGAAAGTTTGTGTTGAAGAATTTAGGAAAAATGAAGACTCTTTGATTGAGTACTTGAAGAATGTGAATTTAATATAAACTAGAGTAGCACAATGATATTGCTTTATTCAACGAAAATGCTTACTAACAGCAATAATACACACAAAACAAACTTAGTGGCGCAACAGGGCCGTGGGTAGCCTAGTGGTTAGAGCATCGGACTCCAGACCGGAGGGCCTGTGTTCGATACCCGATGCCACGGAGTACGGGCTCGTTAAATCAGTGGGTCCGAAAGTCTTGTGGGCGGTCGCAGCAGAAACAACGAGTGCAGAGGGCTGGAGAATATTTCCCACCCCTTTAGTTCCATGCCAAAATTGTGGAGGTGGAGATAGGTGGTGTCGCCATCTATCGTTAAGAAGTCCAACCTGTCTCACAGGCAATGGCAACTATAAATCTATAAAAAATGCTTTCATAATGCAGCTGCCAGTGCTACTAAAAATAAAACTTGGAGGGTGCAATTAAAACTTGACTATGTCTCGGATTTTCCTCGTGCTAGTGCTATGGCTGATTTTAGACTATTGAGACTGAGCATGACTGCCTTTGCAGTCATTTGATTAATTTAATTTGACTGTCTCACTTTTCTGTGTTTTATGTGATCCTGTAAAAGTCATGAACGCTTGCTCTGCACTTAAGAATTTAGACTGTATTGTAAAAAAGTACTGCAAAGTATTGCCTACTTAATGACCTGATGGCCAATGGCCAGAAATTTGGTAAATAAATATGCCTTGACATTTATACAAACAAAGATAGTATGGTATGAGTAGGAACAACTGCCCATGCAGCTTCAACATGATAATGTGGCCGCGGTAGCCGAGTGATCTAGGCATCGGATCGTGGCTAGCATGTCATGAGTTCGATCCTAGTACCACTGAAGACCCGCCGTGTAGGGGCACGATCACTTGACCATGGTTCAAAATTACGCGGACCTTCCCCAAAAGCCCTCGTGTAGCTGAACAGTGGGACGTTAATATTCAATAACTCACTCATTCAACATGATACTACAATTCACCTATTGCATTGATTAACGTAAGGTGACGAGATAGTCATTTACCAGCTATTGATGAACCTTTTTCTATTGGTGAGAGATTTGGAGAAAGTTCTGAATAGAATCCCAGTGGTACCGTTTCTGTATTAAAGAGCTCCGTACAATTACGTCAACACGTGGTTGTTCATTATCCTGCTGAAACGTAGTATTTTACAGGGCTCGAAAAAAGGATACGGACACGGGACTTAACGCACCATAAACGTAACGGCCTCTGTTTAAAGTTCCAGCAATGCGAGCAAAATGTAACCTAACCCGGTATGCAATGGCGACCCATATTAACACCAGATGGTGAACCAGTAGTACAATGTCGAATGTACTTTTGAAATTAATATTCTCTGCGATGCCGTAAAGCACAGTTGCAACCTTCAAGACATTGTTAACAGTATCTGGGTTCATCTGAAAGACGACGCCATACCAATGCTGCAACCAGGCTCAACGTTGATCACACCATTGAAAGCACTCTTGTATGTGGTATTGCATAAATAGCAGCCAAAGCCAAGGTCATCGAGTTTACACACAGTCCAGGCTGCAAGAAACATCGCTTAACTGTTCGGAGTTAAGTTACTCTTATTTTGCAAACTTATCCATTTCTAGACTCGTGACGTGGCTGTAAGATCCATTGTGAAATCTTAGAGGTAACATGCTTTTTTTCTTGAGTATTAGTAATAGCGGACCATCCTGAACATATCGATTCCATATTTTGCAAGCATTTATGGGATTTCGGATGACGAGAGCAGCAGTACTGTGATACGATAAAGCACAAACCTGGTAGGCTACAAATAGAACGATCTCTATTAAAATCAGCAAATGCTGATAGGCATTTTTCCTGTTTACACAAGCCATCACAATTTCTCATCAGCAAACAATATTTAATTAATTTGTATTTGAGAAGTCTGCTGTATATTTTTTTCCATTTAATCACATTGTGGAGGACATACCAGTGCCTGCTTTGCTTTAATGCATTCAATAGCTAATAATTTGAACATCATATCTTTTTCCTGTCGGGTAAATGTCAGGTGTGTTGCTTATTGCTTTTTTGATGTAGCAATTTTAAAGACCAGTGGTTTATTTATTTTGTATCAACTATTTCTTTCTCTTAACTCATAAATATTTCTTCGAAAACAATGGCTTCACATGAAAAAAGTAATTTTAAGGTGAAAGAAAAGTCTTCTTTTAGAAGAATGAGAATTTTTTCCTCCGTTCAAAAAGGTTCCAATACTTACATATCACTCCCATTAACCCGAAAGTTGTCACATGCTCGATACTAACGTTATTAGTGCTGCGGCGTAACGTAGTCACCCCAATACGTTTTTTTTAAAATTATTTTTATTGTACACGATAAAAATGAAATTCCAGTGAATAATTTAATTAAGAGAACTAAAAACTAAACTGAACTAAAATGTTTAAAATATGCTTGACTTACTAACTTAAGCAATAAATCACCAGGTTTGTAACTAAAATTTAATTCTTTTAGTTTTTTTTTAAAATTGGGAAGTTTAGCAAGTCTACCATCAAGAACTCATATACCATAACATAGTACCACAATACGTTTACTGTAATGTAATTTGACACATCATGGGAATATTCAGTTTTATCTGCAATACTTGTATTCGGAAGTCTTATTTCAGTATCACACACACACAGTGAAGGGCTGGGTTTTCGATGTATCATTTTCAGAAGTATTCCATCTCTTCCAAACATTGTTTCTCATAAAAAAGAGACGGTTTTGCCCGTGGCATTTTCTCAAAAGGAAAAAAAAAATTCTAAGTTATATAAATTATTTTTTAAAACAAAAATTGGCATTAAAATCAATCTTAATTAGGTAACTATGAGAATGCAAAAAACTCAAACATAATCAAGCAGAAATTATTTTAATAAGGAAAATTGAAATTAATAACTATTTTACGCTGAAATAGTTGTTTGTGCTTAAAAATATTTCTAATTAATTCAATTTAAGAGGAAAAAATGCTTTAAAATGAAACTGAAACTAAAACCTAAGCTTAGAAACTTCAAATATCTTAAAAAGTCATTCGTTATCTGATCTGAAATTTGGTGGAAAGTTTCCTAATGATAAAAAACCACAAGAAAATGCAAAATGTTTTCGACATATTTGAAATTTGTAGGATACATTGTAGCCTCAAGTGTGGGCATGTGTGGAAAGGGGTTCCATGAAAAAACCTTATATCTCTAAGGGTTCTTGAGTTGAAAGAGTTTGCTGTAAACAAATGATAGATGGCATTTAAAATGAGCTAGTTATCAAAGGAGATGGCACTCTGCAGGATAACTTCCGGTTGTCGGTCTGGGAGGTGGACGACACTTAGATTAATATCCCAGTGTTATTCTGGATGCTTTTAGACACACCATCACATTTCATCAGGGCTCAATCTGAAATCAGATACATTGCTGAAAACATCGAATCGAATACTGTGGCCACGGTACTATAGCGATGATGCTCACGAGCTAGTGGCTTGCACGTCATGATTTCGTACCCTCCATATAGAAAAGGCTGATACAAATTAAACCTGTAGTGGCTTAAAGTCCTTCCTTTGGCGTGATGTAGTACTCTGGAGAAGGGGAGAACTGCCTCGGTGTTGTCCTCATCACTCTTGGTCATCAATTGTTCTTGTGTTGCTTTATGTGCTTGGAAGTTGTATTAGACGAAGTAGAACTCAAATCGTCCGGGACTGAGTCTATAACTTAAAAATATTACCAATTGCACTGCTGAAACACATCCTTCTTCATAATAAGACTCCTGAGCAACAACACACTTTTGCCATGGCTTGTAAAGGTCATCGAAACAT